CACTCCTGCTCCACAACTTTAGGCTGGCTGTTTGCTAGATCTCCAAACTGTGGAGGTGTCTGAGTTTTCGTCTGGAAACTGCCGTGGGGTAACCCTTGAGCTTTCCTTCTCAGATAACCATTCTCTTCAATGCCCGATGGGTGAGGGTGTGGATACAGGGTGTACTCAAAAAAACAGTTCTTACCATCCCACCTCACTGCCTTGCCATAAACACATCAAAAGATGCCTCAGTGCTGGTGATGAAGGCCAAATGACCCCACTCCATCGGTGGGTAACTGTCCAAGTGCAATCTCTGTGTTTTATAGGCTTGCTAAAGTGCCTCCCTAACCCTGTGAATTCACACATGTAACCTTTTTGTTTACCTAACTTGGCCAGCCTGTTCAAGGTAACTTTAGTTTAGAAGGCCTGTCAAAAGCATCTAATTAGAATGAAATGTAACTTTTCTTTATGTTGCTGTGATGTGTATCCAGTCACTTTCTGATCCATATCAAAGTATCCAATCACCTTCCTGAGTATTGTATTCACTCCCCTTTTGTGTATTCTATATAACCCTGGGGAAATTAACATGGGGTGTTCCTTCTTAGGCACCCATGGATCCATGCATTCAATTGTAAATAAACCTATTTGCCCTGGCAAGAAACTGATTTCCAAACCTCTGAATTGCTGATCGGTGTGACAAGGGGGAGAAGTCACTCACATTCCCCAACCAGCTGGGGCTGGAGTCTGCAGAATTCCTCTCAGTGGAAGGAGACTTCAAGATCAGGGCCATCAAGTTTTACTGACCTGCAGCTCTTCCCTTCCTGTGTCTGTTCCAGGAGAAAATATTTTATTTTATTTTATTTTATTTTATTTCATTTATTTAAAACATTTCTATGCCGCCCCCATCGCAACAAAGCCTCGGGGCAGCTCACAAACAATACAAAAAAAATACATAAACAAAATAAAGGCTCGATCAAACACATTACAGGAGTTGCACACATTCTGCTAATGTTTCTGTGCCTCCTGAGCTTCTCTACTAGTCAGCTCATGAACAGGCTGGCTGAGGAGCCTGTGCCAGCCCTGCCATTAGCCAGGGTGGGCCAGTAGTGGCCTCATTGGCAGATACTGGGGAGGCAACCGGGTTGCACAAGGATCAACAGGACCAACAGGACTGAGAGTGAGAAGCAAGCCCTCACATTGACATAGGGCTAATATAATACAGTGGCACAGGACTGCCCCTTTACTTAAGGTGAGTCACTGAAAAAAGACTTACAAAAACCTGCTTATAAAAATGGCAGCTGTTTATCTAATAACTTGATAGATGGGCAGGCATAACATAGGTGATGAAATCTGGGAGAGTCATAATTTTTGCAATCCTGCATTTGCATTTTCTTCTTCCACTTTAATCAAGAGTCATTTCAATGCATCGTCGCTTTCTGCTAGTAGTATAGTATCATCTGCATATCTTAAATTATCAGTGTGTCTTCGGTGAGATTTCACTCCATCTTCTGATCCTAATCCAGCTTTCTCTATGATATGTTCTGCATACAGGTTGAGCAGATAGCTAAATAGAGCCATGTCTGATGTCTTTGCCTAGAGGAAGCCATCCTGTTTCTCCATATTCTGTCATAATAGTAGCTTCTCATCCATAATGCAGGCACCAGGCCAGTCAAGTGCTAGGGTACCCCCATGTCTTTCAGAACTGTCCATAGCCCGCCATGATCCAAACAGTCAAAGGCTTTGCTGCAGTCTATAAAGCTTAGACTGATCATCTCCTGAAATTCTTCAGTGTGCTGTAGCAGCCAATGTCGATTTGCAATATGATCTTGAGCGGCGCCTCCTTTTTGGAATCCAGCTTAAATGTCAGGCATTTCTTGCTCCATACAGGACAACAATCTTGTTGCAACACCCTGAGCATCACTGTGCTTGTGTGGGAAATGAGAGCAATGGTCTTCGGTCGCTGCAGTCTGTTGCACTCCTTTCTTGGGGACTGGAATATATATGGAGCATTTCCAGGCTGCGGACAATTGTTTTGTTTTCCATATTCGTTAGCATATTCTTTTAGGATTTGGACTAATTCACGCCCTGCAGCCTGGAATAGTTCTGTTGGCACCCTGCCTACTCCAGATGCTTTATTCCTCCCAAGTGCTTTCAAAGCAGCTTTCACTTCACTTTCTAATATTGCAGGCCCTTCCCGATAGGGTTCCTCTTGAAGGAGTCTGTCATCTTTTAATCTCTACTGTATAGTTCTTCCATATATTGTTTCCACCTTCTTTTCATTTTCTCCTGATGAGTACGTAGGTTTGCTACCTCTGAGACTCAGGATAGCATACAGTGCTGTGTGAAGTACTTTTATGTGTCCTGCATCTCCTGCCAATCATCTACGTAGGATGACCCTACTGGGTTGTAATGAGGGTAGAAGAAAAATGACTCTGTATTCACTTTCTCCACACCATGCCTAGTTCCTCTTTGTTTTCCATTTCAGTAAGGCAAAGTACACCATAGCTGTGTTGAGTACTCATCTCAACAATTGCTCCTAAACACATACATTGTGGTTAGCTGTGCAATGAAGGAAGCAGTCATCCTGTGGTTTTGAGAAAACAAGTCACCATTTCACCCCACCAGCACAATCCAATGGCTGCAAGGAGAGAAAGTGTGTCTCAGTGCAGAGGGCTTCCCCTATTAAAACTAACAACTGGGGAGACACAACACAATGTTGCGGGGCAGCCATTACCCCTAGCAGAAGCTTTGCACAGTGTTGGTTTCTTTTCAGAGGAGGAGGAGCAAGACTGGCATGGTGTGGAAGACTGCGGCGGAACCACCTCGGATAGTCCTGCTCCTTCCGCCATGTTATCCTATCAATTAGCATACTTACTTCTGAGAAAGTCTTTACTTATCAAGCCAATGGGCAGGGGAATTACACTGGAGATGCCAGTGGACACGTCCTCCCCAGGTGGGGCTTGATGGCTCTGCAGGTCAGATTGTGGCATTTAGTGGGCCGGATTAGGCCTACAGGTGTGCACCATTTCTACACAAGAAGTTTAGCTTCCACTGTGGCTGACGAGCGTGGAACATGAGCTCTCCACTGACTTCCACACCAGTTACTTTGCAGAGCGGGACACTACCAGGAGGATTTCACTGAGGATTTCACTCTGACCAAGCTTCCTTTTCATATCACTGAAACTACCCGCACTGAGCCAGCAGCACCAATGTCACTGTTATGCCAGGACAAAAAGGTCAAGGAGGAAACTTTTTATTTTATGTATTTTTCGATTTATATTCTGCCTTTTTCCTACAAAGGGCTCAAGGCAGCTTACATCATTCTCCTCCTCCATCTTATCCCCCAACAACAACCCTGTGAGGTAGGTTGGGCTGAGAGTCTGTGACTGACCCAAAGTCACCCTGTTGGCTCCATGGCTGAGAGGGGACTAGAACCTGGATCGCCTGAGTCCCATTCCCACCCTCTTAACCACTACACCACACTGGGTCTCCTGGCACAATTGTGGAAGGTAAATTCTTGGAAGTAAAAAGGTTACAGTGATTTTTAAAAATATATTGTATGCCTTTATTCTTGCTTGGGCATTAGCCCGTTCACATACAAAGTAACTAAAACAAAGTAAAAAAAGCAACAACATGAAACAGAATCTGGACTACTTAAAACCAGAATGCATTTGTGGTATATTATTTAAGATTTAAATTAATCTAAACCCAATTTTAAAATAAATAATCTTTATTTTAATACAGCTAGGAAGAACATTTGGTTAGGGTAAACAAGTGCATTTTCAGTTATAAATTTTGCATATTCTTAATGTTCTCAAAGTGAAAGGGGGAAACTTTGTAGGTTTTGTATCAGACAAAAAATAAAAACGATGGTCTTGGGTAGTATTGTCACACAGGTGGAACAAAATAAAGTTCAGAAATGTAAATTTGGTTTGGAGTATAAAGGGCAGGTCTTCACTCCCCGAGTTTGCCACAGATGTGAAATGAAGGGAATTTTAGAATATCTGCCATCTATCATGACTACTTGTTTGAAAATGAAAGCTTGCTTCTTGTTTGAAAATGAAAGCTTGCTTCTGTTTTTGAAATGCAAGCTTCGTCGAACAGGCATCTCTTTGATGATCAGATCCATAAAACCTGCACTATTTTGAAAATGTTGAATCATTAATAGCTTGCCTGTTCAACTGAAACACTAACACTATTCATGGGATAGTGGGATGGTGTGACGTGGTGTCCTGCAACAGCAGGGGTTGGACTCAAGGGTCCTCATGGTCCCTTCTAACTCTACTATTCTATGATTCTATTTTCATGAAGCCTCTTTTTTGAACTTAATGTGGAATGTTTTCCATATCTATCACCACCCCTGCTTCATATGCAAGGAAATAATGCTGAGAATAAAAGCGAAACAGCATAAAGTCTCAGAGAAGGCAGGTTTATAAGCTTCCTTCAGTTGCAATGGTTTGACATATTTTTTCTACCACAAGAAGTATAAAAGAAACAAGATTAATTTTTCTTCCAAGGCTCCTGTTCCTCCAAAAGCCACATGGCAAGCTAAAGATCAGCAGATGGAGATGCAGGGCTGGCAATGCATGAGCCGGCTCCATTTTAATTTGATGATGTTCTTAATGGCATAGGAGCAATACTCCAAGATATTCACCGTGATGGCTCTTTTTATTTTTGGAGTGTAGAGGGAACAATTATTTCAGGCTACAATGCCAGAAGGCACACCTCTCCATTGCCTGCATTTATTTGCATGCTTGCAGGTGGAAGATTCTAACAACCAAAATCAGGATCTAGAAGTCCTTCTTGAAAGCCATAGGAGCCCAACCCTACGCATGATTAAGCAGAAAAGGGACTGCGATTGTAGGAGTTGTGGAACATTTTCTGCTTCAACTTGCATAGGCTGGCACCCCAGGACTGTAAGTCCTTGGTCTGGGCTCTTGCCCAGCCAGAGAAGGTTTTGGAGTAGTGCCCCACTTCAGTGTGGCAGAAAAGCTGCTGAGCAGTGTCCTCAAGATTCAGCACTACATTTTGACTTCCTGTCCTATTCCTGTGCTGCTTGACTTCCTGTTCCAGAAAAAGGGTCGGATTTTCTCTCCAGAGAAGGATTCTACGTGGAACATGAAAATCAGTTCATTATTATCTGCACTGAAAAATTCCACCAGGCCAGCTTCATAATCAAGACACACGCGGATCTCCCTGGGCTGTTTCTTCACACGCAAAGGGCTCGGCTTAGGGAATGTTAAAGCCGAAAGTTGGCACACTGAGGCTGAGGCATTGAATATGCTCCCCACAGCCCAGACCCCTTCTTTAGGATTCAGGCGCACGTAGGGCTTCTTCCTCAAAGAGTCTCTGGCTACCCCCACTGCCCAGTCCAACGTCCCCCATGCCCCTGTGTTCACTTCCCACCAGTGTCTCCCAGAAGTGAATGCCTTGCTGCCCAGCACAAAAGGAGTGCAGTCACATCTCTCTGGGTTTCTGGGCAGATCCCGGATCTTCCATACCCTGGTCACACTCTCCAGACGACTAGACAGGATGCACCAGGGATAAGCCACATCCGGCTCTGGGTTCACACTCACTGCAGGATGGAGAGAGGAGAAAAGAGGCAGCTGGAGGGTGAAGGGGCTCCAGGGGAGGAGGAGCGTGGACTGCTGGAGTGACACTCACACAATGTCCTCCTTCCTCCAGGCTTCACCCGAGCCTAGGCAGGAGGCCCGGGGCAGAAAAAGAGCAAAATAGCCAGCAAGCACATTGCTAGACCTGAGTTTGTTTCTCAGGGCCATGGAGCTATGCTTCATAGCCCTGAATGTCCACTGATACCAATGGAAGGGCTTTCAGTTGCTCTGCAGGAGCGAGTTTTGAGGGGAACTGAAGCTGAGGAGGAAAGGACTATGCCTGAGTCAGGCTTGGCTCCAAAGCCCCTTCCTTCCTCAAGCAGAGGCACAACCAGAGATGAGGCCCTCCCTGAGGAAGGCCAGCCATTTGGATACTGTGAAGCTCCCACATTCCTAAACCAGGAGGCACCCCAGAATGTTGCACCCCAGAAATGCACAGGATGGGACTACAGGTGCAGGGTCTAACTCCACACCAGGAGACGTGGCCACCCCCAAGACTGCTCAGGCGAAGTACTGATGAAGCACTTCAGTTCTTCAAACACAACGTGTGTATAATGGCACTATTTTTTCATCAGCCCTACAGAGAAGGTCAGAATTATCCTCATGTCACCTGTGTCTGCATGTCTGTGCAAAGCAAAGAGTGGCTTCCATATTGGCTCACACCTTGATGAGCAAAGGGCCGTGCTATCTGATTTGCTGAATCTTTCCTCCACCCCACCGAGCATAAATTGCCCGGTTTCTGCCTCATATACTTGTAAGGCAGAAATCACCTGCATGGTCCAGGAAAGGTTCAGGCATTGGCTTAAGCTCCTCTGATTAACGGTGCAACCCTGACAGTTCCCAGCATGCCGGGACTTGAGGGAGCCCTTTTCTGTCTAAATATGCGCAGGTTCATGCCCCATCTCACTAAATGAAAAGCTGCTGCTGAGATATGGTGTTCCATCAAGTTCCCCACATCAGTTTCTTTCAGAGAGTTACCTTCATTAAGAGGTTTCACCAGATAATCTGTTATGGGAAGGAAAGTGTGACAAATGTAAATCAAATCATCAGTACAACCACACCAAACCAAAAGCAGCTCCCCACACTTGCCCAGCAGAGCCCTGAGCCCAGGAAGGCTCACATGGTGCCAACCTCAATGCCATTTCAGCACCAGGAGGAGAGCTCTTATATGTGGCCTTTTGTGTATCCATGCAGCTGAGTTTTGTGGTTTAAAATTCTTTTCATCTATTAATGAAAAGCCAAGACACTGAACTTCAGACCCTAGGACATGGCTTGCATACTAAGGATACCTTACTAATGGTTTGCATACCAAAGGTGAGCCTCAAGGTTTTTTTGTTTTTTTTTTAATAACACATTAATTTTAATATATCCATGAGCTTGACGCCTACAGTAATTAACACCTCTGGCCACTAGGGGCGGACTCTCCTTACTCCCACATAGATTTGTGGTCCATACAGTTTGAAGCCAAAGGGGATTAGTGGACCAAGAGACAGCATGATATGCCTGGCTCCTCCCCATGGCTGTGGGGCAACCCTCAGTCAGGGGGAAATGGAGTGGCCAGCCCCTTCCCTTGGGGACGGGGTGCACTGTGGCAGGGGCTGCACCTAAGGGTGCTGGTGGGCACGGCCTCACACGGTCACGGGGGTACAAGGTGTCTGATGCATGCAGCTGAAGGCTTTGCTCCGTCAAACTAAGGGCCATTCCAACCCATGAGACTCAGCTCTGTTTGCTAGCAATACATTTGGAAATATATCTCACAGCAACAGTGAAGAATCCCTTTCTTAATTGAAATTAAGATTTCAATGCCGTACTTAAATGGTTGAATAAATTCACCCCTCTGTGTGCATATGTGGGGTGCGGGGATTCTCCCAAGATTAGGACAGGGTCTCTTTTAAGCCCTATGTATGTATGTATGTATGTATTAGATTTTTTCCCCACCCCATTCCCTGGGTGGGTTCTTCTGGACAGAATTAAAGGCTCCCCTTAAATTCGAGCTCCACCTCCTATCACAATTCCATTTCTGTTTCAGTCCCAGAATAGTACCTGCTTCCAGAGTTTGACGAAGAGACTCTGTTAAATAGACAAAAAGGAGACAAAATTACTTAAACCATCATACATGAAAGAACCGAACTACCTCAGCATTTTCCTGTACAGATAACTCCTGACTTTCATCTTGGGGAATCTTCTGCATGGGACTGTTAATTAGCTGTTACTTTTGCGGTTCTTCTATTTCAAATCTGACACCTGAGCAGCAAATGAACAGTATTTTCTTTCCTGTTTTTCAGCTATGTAACAAAAGCCCTGCTGGATCCAGCCAAGGGTCCGTCTAGTCCAGCACTCTGTACATGTGGTGGCAAACCAGCTGCCCACGGGATCCCTCAAGCAGGAGGGGTGCAAGGCCTCTGTCTGCCCAAGCTCCTCCGCAACAGGTGTGTGCAGGTGTGTGCAGCCTCTGGTGTAGGAGGTAGCCCATAGCCAGCAAGGCTAGCGGCCACTGATAGCCGCCTCCCTCATGAATCTCTCCAGACCGACAGCCATCGCCATTTCCTGTGCCAAAGAATTCCACAGTCCAGCTCTACACGGTGTGAAGAAGCACTTCTAGCTGGTATTGGTGGTGTAGCAAAACAGCACAAATGTATAACAGAAAATCTTTTCCATAACAGAAATATATAACACTTTTTTGCTTTCAGAATCAAATGGCACATTTCTCCTGTCCTAAAAATACTCTTGGGATTTGGTGTTCCAAAACCAAGGGAAAATGCAGGTTCACAGGGCAAACTGCCCGTAAACCATCATGAGTAAGGAACGCCAAGTGCCCAATAAATGCTCCATGTAGAAAAGCTCGGTTTTTCTTCTTGAGTAAGGAGGGAATTTATGGGGCTACTGCACACCCAGGACTTTTCCTCAGTCAGAACCTTTGGAATGAGGGCTGGAGAGATTGGATGCACTTGCTGTTGATATGTGCCATCAAATCATCTCCAACTTATGGGGACCCTAAGAATGCATAAATGCCCTGCCCTTGACAGCCCTTATAATCATGTAACGCATGGCAGCATTTATATGAACTTCCAAACACCTTCCCTCCGATATATTATAAGCAATGGGATCTTCTTGCTGTGTGTGCATTTTTACAGTTCTTACTGGGGGTGGAGAAAGGAGATACCCTCTCATGAGAGTAAGAGATCCATTCCCTTTTGGGGGGGCGGGGTGCTTTGATGAGCAGGGCAGCTGCCCCCCTCCTTCCTCAGAAATAGACAGGATGCTGTGCAGAAGGGGGAGAAGCTGCTTCTGCCTCTTCCCCCCTCCCACCCCACAGGAGCTTTTATGGACAAGCACAGTAGATTCCTCCTTAAGAGACCCAGCAAAAGGGAACCGAATGCAAAGAGGCCATGTCTCACCAGTTATCTCAGGAGATCTTGCGAGATCTCCCTTTCCCTGCAACCAGTCTGCAACTGGAGCACTTACAGAGAAGGATGCAGCCTGGCAATTTCGGTCTTTCAAGAAGGGAACTATCCTCAATGTGGCGCAGAGGTCTCGGACAGCACTCCAACACTGGAGCTGGCAACTGCGGGAGTGGGAAGGGAAGGAGACCAGGGCGGCCAGGAGATGCAATATCCTGAAACTGCTCCAGCCTCATTCTTTCCCCCTCTGAAATGCTAGCGAGGCAAAATGGCTATTTAAGCAAAGAAAAGGGGGGGAAATCCAGAGCGGGAGGAACAGAGCAGCCAAGATCACTCCAGCATCTCCTGCTCGGCATTAGATTGGTGTGAGCCTCCAAGTCTGGGGCTTGTGGGCATTTCCATATGATTGTGGTCTTACAGTGTGGCGGTCAGGGAACTCTTTAGTTAATTATATATGAAGCACAACTAATATTTCTCGTCCCCCACTCCATTCCATGATTTACAATTGCTTCTACATTCACAATACGTTAGAGCAAATAACAACCGTTGCCAGTCCTGATTCTTTAATATACAAGCATTTCTGAACACGTGCAGTTTCACATTTTAACTTCATGTAAATCAAAGAACTATCATCACAGGAATGACATGGAGTTTGCTTCTGTCTAGCCGTAACCCTAACTCTGATGCTGAATGCGCTTATTTGGAAAGAAGTAATATTACGTTGCAGTGAAGGATCATTTCTTTCTAAAGCTAACATTAAAAATATGCACAACAGACCTGGCCAGCTGTCCTCTGACTGTATCAGCTTTCAGAAACAGAATTAGCCCAGGTGCCTTTGCCCACATCACCTGCCAATCTCTGCATAGCCAGAGGGAGGGGGGCTGCAGGGCCCCGAACCTTAGTCCCGAGATGCAGCCCAGGCTGCCCCACTGCTCCAAGATCTATTCCCACCCCCTTTCTTAAGCTGCCCCCAGTACCTTGACACTCTTCCATCGCCTTTTCTAAAGCAGAGCATTGCTGCGAGCAAATTCTGAGTCTATTTTCCAGCTTGGGTGAAAGGTCCACCACTTTCTTTTCCAAATTCTTACACCTGGAAGGAAATATGTAAAGAACAGTATTGCAGCATTGTCCTTCTGAGCAGTTGTAGCCTTACATGGCAAGCTTGACTCTCACTGAAGACTGACTTCTGGGTAGCTGCTCCAGCCAGCCATGTTAAAGCTGGAAACAGCTTCAGGGAAACAGCTGCTACTCCAATCTGTGTCACCAGTTATCTTTCCTTTTTGTGTGACTTCAAGAATGCCAGATTTAATCATGCAATGGTCGATTTCTATATAAGAAAAGATTTTCGACCAACTGAAGCTGGGAATTTGTTCAAAGAATACATTCCCTCCACAGGGACTCAGTGACAAGTGGGCACACAGAATCAAACTTGGAAGGGCCTAGAAGACCATCAGTCCAATGCCCTGCTCAATGCAGGACTTAAGTCTCCCATCCAGATTCTAACCAGGGCTGACCCTGCTTAGCTGGATCTTCTCAGACCTAATCCAGCATCCATCCACTGAGCCAAACAGGCTCTTCATGCTTCCTATAGATGACTTCTGCCCCTTATAAAGAAATAAACTAGATTTAAGGATTCTGGGGAAAGGTTAGGAATGTAGGAAGCTGTTTCATAGCTGCCCTACAAAGACAGACCATTGATCCATCTAGCCCAGTGATACCAACACTGACTGGAAGCAGCTCTCCAGAGCTTCCACTAAGGAGATAGAAATGTGAATTCCCAAGTCTCACAGTCATTTCTTTGCTGCTCTTTGTGGGTTTAGGAGGGGCAAAGATGAGATATGTGGGAAACGTTGGTGCAGATGCAAAGCAGGGATCCATTGTTCAGTCTTACTGCATATATTCAGAGGTTTACATGTGCAGTCCGTGGTATCTTCAGTTAGAAGGATCACATGTCTCAGAATCTGGAAATGTCTCCCACATAAAAACTTGGAGAGCTGCATTCAGCTGGAGTACAGAACATTTAGCTGGAGGGACTAACGTCCTCTGTCAGTGACCTGGTTCACACATAACACTAATTCATGGCTTACTGGACCCATGGTTTGTTACTGTACCCAGATGAACAATCCCTGGGTTGGCTTTTGCTCTCCTCTTCTGCCCGCTCCCATTCCCTCTCTGTATCCCAAATGATTTTGTGGAATTGTAGTGCTAGTATACAGAGTGGCTGGGGGTTCTTTCCCCCTTTTTCACTCTTGCTCATTCTTCTGTAGCCTGTCCAGCAACCCACAGTTCTTATAACAACTACCCATGACCTAAATAACCCAGAGTCTATAAACAACAACAAAATATTGGTTCTTTTTCTGGGTTGTTCACAATTAACAAACCATGGGCTTTCACATATCATGTCAATGCAGAATTCAACAATCTATGGGTTAAAAATTCTGGGGTTGTGTTATTTGTGAAGCAGATCAGTAGGAGAGAACCAGTCATGTTCCCACTCTTCCCAAAGGGAAAAGTTTGAACTCTGGTAACAGATACAGCTGCAGTCAAAACAGAAGGGCAGAGGGCCTCACTCTGAAGCATGGAGAACATTATAACAGACCTGAAGACCTGAAGGCCCCACACTGCAGAAACCAGCTTTGCTTTTGGTAGGACTCAAACTGTTCATGGGAGGTGAAAAAAGGAAGGGGATGAGAAAGAGCAGGAAAACGGGAGAGCAGCAGCAGCACCTCTAATGTTCTTGATGCCAAGAGAGGAAGTAGTGGGCCTCCCCTAGAGTTGCGGAAACAGTATGCGTTGAAAAGCTTCCCAATAGGATTACAGCGCAGTCACCCGAAGAGGAGGAGGAGGAGGAGGAAAACCAGAAGGGTGATGGAGAAAGAGCCACATACCTGCTCAGGGCACATTGGATGTCCTGAAAGAGAGAAGGACAGAAACTGAATACTGATTTGTTCTTGTCTAGCAGGGTTTCCTTTGTTCCTTGCTTGTCCGTGGAAAACAAATTACTGCTTGCAAGATCATGCCTTCTCTGTTTCAGGGAGAAGGCAGGCATCTTTGGGTTAGGTCTCACCTGCAGGAATTCTCTCTCTGGCAGCTGACACTTTCCCTCCATCTCTGAGATCAGCTTGCTGAGCTGGAAAATCTTCACAGAGAGTTTGGTGAGGTTTCGTTTCTCCCTCCCCACAATCTCTTTCTCCAGGTTGTCCAGCTGAAATAGCCAGAAGTGTTGTTTCTCCTCAAGGATCAACTGCAGCTCCACAAAGGCAGATTTGATCTTCTGCTTCTCCATTTCCAACTCTGTCTAGGGGAAAACACATGGAAATTAAAGAAACGCTAGAGGTAGAATGTGCCATTCAGTCAAAGGTCATTAGACGGGAGTTACGTTGCATGGCGATTCATGAAGGTTTCGGGGGACAGAAAAGAGGACGGCAGCGGCTCAGAGATGGCCCACAGCCACCATCTCTCTTCCAGGGACACCTGTACTGGATGCATCTCAATTTGCCAAGCATATAGACAGACAGACAGACAGACAGACAGAACTTTATTATAGTCAAAGACCAGCACAATTCAAATAAATAAATAGATTTTTTTTAAAAGAGGAAATACATTAAAAGTTATCTCTCATAAAACCCCAGTTGGATTAATAGATACTTCAACACAATACATGAATACTGCTACTGTAGTTCATATCAGGCATCTGGAGTAAGGGGCATTCCAAGCTTTGTCTTGCATCGCACTAGGCAGAACCCACACTCCCTCCGGATCCTTCTCTGGACACCCGTCGCGGCCACGAAGAATTTAGCAACACCGTATGTTAACATCGGATTGGTGTCAGACAGCACTATGTAAATACGTACATTGTTGCTCCATACGGTCGGGGTGCAGCGCGAATAGCCCTGTAGAATGTGCACCAGAGCAGGATGTGTGCTCTGTGGCTTCCGACCATCCCACACCGCAGGGGCAAAGGCGCTCTGACCAGGGGATCTTTTTGCACCGTCCCTCCAAAACTGCCAAGGGAACTCCGTTCAGGCGGGCCAAGGTAAAAGCCCTTCTGTGTGTGTGCCGTGCCAGTTGTTCGAGACAGGGTGCAGCTTTGCAATGCATCTACAGACCTACCTAAGATAGAATTCTGGGGCACTATTGAGATCACCTCGTTTCTCGGTGTCTGCTATGCGCTGCTTGATCGTTTCCCTTGCCTGTTCAAAGCCCATATTTAGTAGAGTCCGCAGGGGAAGGCCCAAGAGGACTATTTTCTGCTCAATTGATTTAATCCAGTTGGATCTAAAATCGTCTTGCAAAATTAGTGGAGCAAGGCCAACTGGAAAGTATAACAAGCATATAATGGTCTTACCTCCAAGGCGCATACATCAAAATATGCACAGACTTAAAAGCTACTGGAAAGACAGACGTGTTGGATGTGAACATGCGGATGTGGCAATGCGCCTGGCATCTGGGAGAAAGGGTTAGTGGAGGAGCCATGCAGATGGAGGGGAAGCGGGCGCTTTTCTTCCTGCAAACAGCTGAAGCGCTGCATCGCGCAGGGTCTTATGCCGAGGCAATTCCTACTGGACAGCCTGACTTGAAGAGCCGTTCTTAGAAAACAGACGTGATCCAAAGTATGGGCCACCGTGTGCTGCCCCCCTGCCCCTCCCCTCCGTTTCTGCACAATGTTCATCTTCCACCATCCATCTCTCTCTCTCTCTCTCTTTAGGCAACCATGGTGAAACTGCTGTAGCCTTTGCTTCATCCTCTTCCTTGCATTGCTGTCCCAGCTCTGGATGCTCGGCAGCTTCCAAGCCTAATTCTGAGTTGAGCATTTTCCAATAGCTGTTTCCCTTATTAGGACATGGGAAAATGCTCTGGGGAGTGATGCCCCAACGCGATGGCCGGTAGACTGTAAGTCACGCAGAGGTGGACCCTGTCACTTGACTCTTGTGGTTTTCCATTAGTTTTCTGATTGGCCGAGGGCAGAAACCATCAGTGACAGGCATCATTTACTGTGTCATCAGTCAATCAGAAAGCCAACAATGAACCACAGGGCTGTGCAGATCTAATGTACAAAGCCAGAGAAAGGAAGACAAACCAGAAGAAAGCAAGAGTTCCATCAGATGCGTCCAAATTGAAATGGAACGCCTCTTCCAACCACAAAGTTCTCAAACACTGCACTTAACCTCTGAAGCCTTCCTTCAAGGTAAGGTGGGCAGGTGGCCACAAGAAAGGAGGCCTTCACTGTGGCAGCCCCCAAACGCTCTCCCCACCACAGTGTATTTGTGATGGATCACAATTGTGCATTGAGCAAGGGAGCTGATGCATTATTGGCCCCTCCAGTTCCAATAAGTTTTGATTTTATGGTTCGTCTTGGGTTTTCTGCCACTCTAGGCACTTTACTTGTCAGCCCTGCTGAGGGTTTCTTTGACTCTTCCGAAAGGATCGTTCAATATGAAATAATGAACATGAATGTGTGAACCACTCTGCAGCCACTATTAGGCTACACAAACACATGTCAAACCTAAAAAATTGTTTCCTTTCACTAACAGAGGATAAGAGGAGTCCACCCATCAATGCAAGACCCCAACAAATGAGCCATTATAACAAGCACCTACCAAATATTGCAGGCTTTCCAATTCTTCAGCCAATTTCTGGTCCTGAAGTTTCTCCCTCTCTTCCTTCAGTAGTTCCAGATGGGTCTGGATTTTTGTCTGTAGAAACAGGAACAGGTTTTTTCACTGTCAGGAATGATCTGGTGCAAGTCAGCATTTCCCAAGGAAATCCCATTGGATTGACTGTGAAGCACCAGCAACCCACTGACAGGGCTTCCCCTGATGCTGGGAAACTCGAGCAGCTCTCCTGTGATTTTCCCCTTTACATTTGCTTGGTCTTTCCTGCTGAAAGCAGGGAAGGATATTACAGGAGTACGTGTTAAACATTTCAGTTGCAACTCGCATTGTTTTTGCTACACCTTTAACTGGGAACTGTAACAATCAGCGAAGTCTGAGTGATTAACCAAAGCAGCACCGTCCATACACAGGAACCGTGGGGGCTGAAACGAGCAAAAAGTACTTAGGAGGGAAAAAACACTTTCTAACACTCTTGTGCCGCCCTGTGCCCAAAGACAGTACCAGATTAGTTCAGACTGCTGCTTCTCAACACTGAAGTTTAGAAGGTTCTTTCAAAATAGCACACCACAGGGCTCCCTAGCTTGGCTGGCCAACAGTTCCTTATGCCAGGGGCCTCACCAGATTAGCAAAGAGGGTAGGCTGGCTAGCTGGCAGGGCGGGCGGGCTACCAGCCTGGGTCCTGCACAGCTGGGAAGCAGGCTCTACTCTTCCAAGTAGAGTCTGCCACTGACCCTGGCCACAAAACAACTCCCCATCTCCTGCTCCAGAGGACTCTTTGCCTTGCTGTTCTAGTACACATCCTGTAGGTAGGCCAATCTGGGATGAATTCAGGACTCTCTCAAGTACAAAGAATGGCTCCTCCAGGGTCAGGGTCAGAAGCCCTGGGGCTAAGCAGTGCCGTTCCCCCTGCAGGTGCCTGCAGGGCCAGAAGCACACCTGTAGGTGCCGGCAGAGCTCATGCAGCACACCTGGGTGCACTGGAAGGCTCTGCAAAGGGCTTTGCTGCCCTGCTCAGCTTGGAGTTGCCTTGCGCTGGCCTTGTCTAGCCTTGTCTGCTCCCTTCCCCTCCTCCTTGCCAGCTCCCTTTGTTATCTCTGACTCCACCTGGCTCCTGGCCCTGGGGCTGTAGTGGTAGCCAGTCTGCAGTCTGCAAAACCCCTTGGCACGGATGGACCTTAAACTTAAATTAAGTCATTATGCCCTACTGGTGTTCCTTTTGCCCCATTCAAAATCCCTTCTGGAAGAAAGGGATTGGGCAGCTTTAGTTGTATCTGGGAGCAGGTGTTGAAGCCTCATGATCTGCATGATTTTTCAGAGCCGGGCAGTTTCTGTCCACACATTTTTTGTCTAGGGCAACATGGGCTTCTAGAGAATTGAGGAACCTCAGAGGTTCCTCAGGGGAGGAAACCACTCCCCTCTTCCCTTACAACTCACAGCTGCAAGGGAGGATGAAGTGCTGGCTTTCAGAAGGAATAACGAAAGCCTGCAGGTCACACAGGGTTCCTTTCTTTAGAAGACAAAGACTGAAGGATGGTCTCCCTGCCTAGGACGGGAAGAAGCGCACCGAGTGGCCTGCCTCACCCAGTACTGCCAGCGCAACAGACGGGACTCAGCTCTCCAGGGAGGCGGCCTTCTAGGCCTAGCCGGCAATGTGGGTAGGGCAGCCAAGCCTAAGACCTTCTGTAGCTCCTCTGCCACTGCGCTAAAGCCTTTCCTCTCCCGCATTTTCCTAAAAATAAGGATGGGGCATACTAGGAAGATCAGAGTCAACAGTAAAGAACTCAGTCTAAACAGTCTCGGTCTAACCCGCCTCAAAGAACTGTATTCTTACCCGGTATTCCTGGGCAGCATCTCTCAACAGAAGGGTAACATGTGCCTTGTGCTCTGAGGATTTATCACAGTCCACGCACACTAATTCTCCATCCTCGGTGCAAAACAGGCTGAGTTTCTCTTTATGTTTCCTACACAGGTTCTCCTTGGGTAATCTGAGTGGGAAGTGTTTGATCTTCTCTACCAGGTTTCTCAGCGGCCAGTTTGGCCGAATATTCTCTCTCTGGATCGGGGCTTGACAGAGAGGACACGTCACCTCCTCCCCAAAGTGTTCCTTCATCCTACAGTGGCTGAGGATACAGGTCTGGCAGTAGTTGTGGCCACAGTCCACGGACACTGCATTTGTCAGATATTCGTGGCAAATGGGGCACTTGACTTCCTCTTCCACACCCAGAGCTAGCTGGGCTGACGACACAACAGATGAAGACTTTTTGTCTTTGGCCTGAGATGTCACAACAGGAGGAACCTGTAGCAAGACAACAGGAGGAGAAGGAAGGTGCAAGAAGAGCCCTGTGGGGTCAGACCAGGGATCCATCTAGTCTGGCACTTCGTTGTCCTGATGGCCAAACAGCTGCCCACAGGAAACGCACAAGCAGAACCCTCCCGTCCATGTTCTCCAGCAACGAGTATACACAGGCACACGGGAGGAGGCAGCCAGCCATCCAGACTGGCAGTCATTGATAGCTTTATCACCCATGCCTTTGCCAATTCCATTCCCAGGCTGCCCGTATCAGTGATCACCACAACATTCCAGTGAATTCCATAGCTGAACTCCACACAGTATGAAGGACTTCCTTTTATCTGTCCTGAATTCACTCCGTGGTTTCATGGGATGACCCCTTTGGCTTACAGTGTTCGGAGAGAGGAAGAAATATCTATCCACTTTCTCCACACCACACATAATTTTGCATATCATGTCTCCCCTTACTCACCTTTTTTTTCTGGTTAAACAATCCCCTGGTGTTGCAAGCTGTCCTCATAGGGAGGTTGCTCCAGCCCCTTGGAGTTGCCCCTTTCTGTACTTTTTCCAAGTGTACAATATCCTTTTCTTAAGTGTGGTGACCAGAACTGGATACAGTATTCTAAGAATGCTCCTACTTGGTTGTTTTATTTTCAGTTCTTTTCCTAACTATGTCTAACATGAATCTGCTGAGAAATAGCTATTTCCCAAGCCCACCCCTCCCCAGGGGGACACTGTCATTTGCAGAGGACATCGGAACGATCATTTGCTCTAATAGCATACTTTGGCACCTAAGTGCCTAGCACTCTATTTGCAAGATGGGGCCACTCCAGAGTAAGGAAGTGTTGTCTCCATACTCAGGCTATACTGAATACACACATTTAGAAAGTATAAGGGTGCATTGGGCGGTGGGAGCAATGTCCAGATAAAGACTTGTGAGATTTCAGACTGCACTGAATTGTGTGGCAGCACATGCAGAAAACAGATGAAACTGGAAGTTATATTGACAGCATGGCTGAAGATTTCCTTTCCACTCCAAGGCCCTCCAGTACTTCCCATTTCAGAAAGAAAGATTATACAGCCTTGACAGAAGTCGTGGCCATAAGCCAAGATAACCCACATTTCAATAATAGAAACATAGAAACAGAGTGAGTCAGAAGGGGTCTCCTGGGCCATCTAGTCTGACCTCCGGCACCAGCTGGCTCTGCTCACGACATGCCCACCATGTGCACGTCCAGCCGATCCTTGAACACCCTCACCGACGGGGCCTCAACCACCCCCCGGGGAAGCCCACTCCACACCCTCGGGGTCCTAACTGTCAGGAGGTGCTTCCTGGCATCCACCTTGTACCTTGGTTCCCTGAGCTTTGCTTCATTGGAGTGCGTCCTGCCTTCCTCTGCAGGGGAGAACAGGTCTCTACCCATCTCCATGTGACACTCCCTCACATACCTGTATGTCACCAACATATCCCCCCTGAGTCTCCTCTTCTCCAGGCTGAAGAAACCCAGTTCCTTCAGTCTTGCCTCATACCCCATCCCCTGCAAACCGGCCACCAACCTTGTGGCCTTACGCTGCACTGATTCTAACCTGGCTATATCCTTCCTGTAATGAGGGGCCTAAAACTGAGCACAATACTCCAGTATGGGCGCACTAGAGTCGTGTAGAGTGGTAGTAATACCTCTCTTGATCTAGAAGCCACGCTTCTGGCTATGCAGCCAAGGGTGGCGTTCACCCTCTTGACCACCCATCACACTGCTGACTCATGTTCAGCCTGCAGGCAACCAGCACCCCGAGAAAAGAACATTGCGCCCAACGTGGGGCTCGAACCCATGACCCTGAGATTAAGAGTCTCATGCTCTACCAACAGAGCTAGCTGGGCTCCTAATGGCTCACAGTCCAGCAACAACCTATATTCAACCCATATTCAACCCTTAAATGTGGGTTACCATGTTGTCTGGAGCCAGTCACTGCATGTTTCTGTTCCCTTCCCTGGATGGGCTGAACCAAGGAAATATTTCAGCTCCCATCTTCATTTCTTTCAAGTTTCCATCAACATTTTAACTGGGTGATCCTGTAAATCTGCAGATTGCTTTTTCAGTTTCTTAACCTCAGCCTTGCCCAGATGGGTAGAAGAAACATCAACTGATCTTCAGTGATTATGAGAAGTTTTCAGAAGCAGACCTTCTCAACTGTTACACCAGGATAAATTTAACAGGGACATGTGTGTCAAACGTGTAAATCTCAGAATAATTCTCACTTACTAATAAAAATGGAAAGCAGAAATGTTCTGCTAAATGGAGGAGCAGAGCTATTGTTAGATACAGGAGCTATTGTTGGAAATAATCTATAAGCAACTTCCAAAGGAAAAGCCAGATCATTTCCCCATCCCTTCCCATTGTAGTACCTTACCTTGTATTCTTGGGCAATCTTTTCTGCCTGAAGTGCAGAGTCAGTGGGGATTGGATCCTCCTTGCAGAAGGGGTTCAAAAGCGCCTGGTGCCATTCATGCACTCCCTTCTTTCCTTCCACCTTTTTTCTTTCTTTACCTTTCTTGGCTGCTTCTACAAGATTTCCTAGTTGCTGATTTGGCCTGAAGTTGACTTCCCAAAATGTTTCTCCACACTGAGGACAGGAAGCATCTTCCTCTGACTCTCCCCAGCAATGGATGAGACAGGCTTGACAGAAGCTGTGCCCACAGTCTAGAATCACTGGGCTTGTGAATAATTCCTTGCAGACGGGACAAGTAGTTTTATCTTCAGAAGAAGCATTAGTCTGCATGGCTTGCTCTCTCTGAAACATAAGAATCTGAGCCTTTGGGTCAAGAATTTGTTAGGGTATGATCTCAAGTGTGCATCCTGTATTTACATATACGAATAAATGTCTGTTGGAGTCCTCAGCTTGCTCCCTGGGCTGTCCTCCATTGAGGCAGGATGAATCCCTTGCCTCGCCTCAGGCAGCGGACTGAAGTCAGCGGGGGGGGGGGGGGTGACAGGAAGCGCATGCCGGGCTGCTTCGTTTGCCACTCCCCCCACTCCACTCAGGGGCAGTGCCAAGCACGAAGGAGGGAAGGACGGAAGGAATTGGGATCCAGCCCACAGATGGGGACACACACACACATTTGCCATTGATAAACTTACATAGGCTATAAAGTCAGTAAAGGGTCTTGTCTCTTAAGGACACCCCATTTGTTAAAAGCGATGCACGGACAGGGGAGGACTTTGACTCCAGAAACAAAAATTGGGCAGAAAAATTCAAAGGGGGCAGCAGCGGGTGAAGCACTTGTGGGCAAAAAACCTGCCAAAGCCACAGATACTCAGGGCCCCTGTTCCCCTGAACATCAGGATAATGGGACAGGTGGCCTGCCAGATATTCAGGGCCCCATATGAAAGGTTTTGGGCTCCAGCTCTGGTAGGCCACCTCCTTGATTTTAGATGTTTCTTGCTCTGTACGCTAAGCCTCCAGAAGAAGCGCAGCACAGTGCAGCTCCCCCCTCCAGTAGCACGGCTACCTGGCAGCCATAGCCCCACACGGGGGTGGGGGGGCAAACTTCGCTTGACTGCCGTGGACAGAGCATCACCCAAGCCTGGCAACTGACTGGCTTTCCTCCAATACGGATGTCATGGGCCATTTTCCCCCTCCCCTCCCCTCCCCTCCCGCTCTTCTTGGCCCTTCAGCAATTTTTTCAGGCAGCAGAATTGTCCAGCATGTGGGTCCAGGCCTGCCTGTGCCTTTGTGGCAACAGCTTCTCCTCCTCCCAGCACTGTGATTTTTTAAGCCCCTTTGGCCGCTCACAGAGCCTACTTGGGCTGTTCCTGGGCCACGAGCAGGCACTCTCCTCTCTCTCTCCGGCCCATCACTCAGGCTGAGGACTGGGCTCATCCGGAGGTTTCCAGGTCTCCCCTTCCTGTGCTTAACAAGTCACAAGGCAGGCAAATGCTGACCGGATCTTGTGGACTGGGATGGATCCATTCTGCCATTGGGAGAGCGCTCAGCTCCACTCTGAGCCGCAAATTCTCCCAGGGCAGGCCTATGTTGCTCTCTGGCCCACCCATCCAGCTTTTCCTCCAGCGCTTTTGCAGCACAGCTCTGCCCCCTTCCCTTCCAGTAACTCAAATCACGGCAGCGGCCTACCCCTGAAGCAAGTAGCAAAGCCAATCCACAAACCATCTGCAACGAGAAAGCAGCTACTGCAAAGAAGAGAACAGCGTGAGCGAAACTGGGGGAGAGATGGAGGTGGTGACCTTTGGGCCTTGCTGTGAAACGCAGTGGCAGAGAGGGATAGAGCGGCAAAGAAGGAAGAAAGGCATTCAAAATGCAGCTAGGTGTTGCAGCTCCTCTTAGCCCCTTCCTGGTTGCTCGCCTCTTTTGCACGGATCCCAGCCTCAAACCCAAGCCAGCCCATAGGGCTGTGTCACCCACCTGTGGGTCAAGGGCTGAGGATTCTGCTGCAGGTGTAGCTGGACCAGGTTGGCAACAGACTCCAGCAGGAACAGGTGAAACAGCTCACCCCGGAAGCTGGCAGGTGAAAAGAACCCTGGACCTGCCTGGAGGAAGGGAGTGGCTGAAGGCAGGCCCAGCGCCAGGGAAAGGTGGGCGGAGGGGGAGAGATTAGCTTGGCTGAAGGAGGCAGAGAAGCAATGGCGGGCTGGCAAAATAACCCCGACTGGTCTGTCTTGGTGGTGTCGGTAAGAACAAGCCATCGCTAGGCGCTGAAGGAACACCGACGCGGGACCTTCGCTGGCAAGCATTCATGAACAGGCCAGCAGGTGGCGCTGTAACCCGGGCTTGCAAACTGGAAGGGCTGAGCACAAGACAACACGAGAAATGGGCAAAGAAATGGACAGGCGAAGTGGAGGAATTAGGGGCAGTGCCTTCGTGGTAACAGCTCTTAGAAGACTAGGAAGCCTGCTGGAACTGAAGGAATCCGGGCCTGGGGACAAGGAGTGGTATCCCCAGTCTGGGGAGGAGGCTAGCGCCACCATAAGGGCAACATCTGACACTGCACAGAGCCAGCTGCAGTTTCTTCAAAGCCCAAGTGACCTGAATCCCAGGTCCAACCTCCCATATGAAGGGAAAGAACCAGGCCAGAATGTACATGGAAGTTCAGTATGGTGCAGTCATTACCACAACTGGTTAGACCAGCAACCCTCTGAAGAACAGCCCTGTTGTTTTGGCTGTTTCTGGGCCTATCTCTGACCCTGGAGGCCAAGTGACCTCAGTGGCTCAGAGCACGCACTATCAACAGCGGGCACTATGACAGCTGCACCTGTTTCTGGATAGGGATGGACTTGTCTGGTGGTCGCTTTCCAGTTCCGTATCCTTCCTTCGAACCTGGCCACTGCACCCCACGCTTACACTAATGCATGGCAGAGGCCTGTCTGCATCTCAGACTCCAGGGCACCCAGTCTTCCCGCACCTGTACGATGGGCCCCTGGCAGCCTCCTCCAGCACTGACCTCCTCTAACAGGCGTGTTTCGTAAGTGCCATCCTGCAGGACCTGGAACTCTTCATCAATCACTC